TTGATAAGTGTAAATTTCTTATTGCTTTGACATTGTTGCTTTGATAACATACTCGGAGAAATTTAGATTTTTGGGTATTGGCTGGCGTTCTAGTCCCTTCATTGGTTGACATGGAGAGTATTAAGAGGTTGGGCAATGAAATAGTAATCATGACTCTGCCTTCGCATACTTTGGCTCGAAGCGTTCCCTTCGTCACCTCGTTAAAAACCTCCTTGAGAAAACCCAAATGGGACAAAACTCAAGTGAGGAGAAAAAGATTACGGCTTGGGGGCGCTTTTTCTCTCAGAAGTTGAAGTATTTGAGGTGGCTGATATCTCTGTTGTTTGGTAGTAGCTTTCCTTCCATTGTCTCTAGTTGGAACGAACCCTTATTTGCTTTTGCTGTGATTTTGTACGGACCGTCCCAGTTCGTTCCCAGCTTCCCTTCTCGGGGATCTTTGCTCGCTAGAGTTTTGGCTTTTAGTACGTAGTCCCCGAATTTAAGCGGCTGAACTTTTTCTTTCTTATTGTAATAGTGCTCTGCTTGTTGTTTTTGGGTGACCATTCTTATGTAGGCCATGTCTCTCTGTTCGTCTATCTCGTCGAGATCTTGCCTTTTGCTTTCATCGTTGCTCGTGCCGCTTTCATAGGAATATCTTAGGCTGGGTTCCATGGCGTCTCTCCTGTGCTCGTTTTCGGAGTTGTTCTGCAGGCTCATAGACATAGTAAATCTAGTAGTATTTCTGGCCACAATCCCTTGGCTTCTTCGAGCTTCTTTTTCATGATGTTTAGTATTGACTTATTGGAGGATTCTTCTTGCCCGTTACCCGCGGGGTGATATGGGGTCGAGAGTTCTTACTACAAAAAAGGCTTTCGGCGATCATTATTTAGCGTCAGTTGTTATAAAATAAAGACAGTAAAGTAAAGACAAGTATAGAGAGAAACTGATATATTATTCAAACTTCAAACTTATGTATATAATGAACTGAAAACTCCTCTATTTATAGAAGAAAGGAAGCAACTGTGAGGTTTTTCAGGAAGCAGCTGCAAGACTTTTCTTTAGTTGTTTGTAAGTTGTCTGCATAAGCTGCTTGCAACCTGCCTGTTTAATAAGAAGCTGCTACAAATTATTTCATTGAGCTGCTTGCAAGCTGCCTGCATCAGCTGCTTGTAGATAAATTTCAACAGAGTACTAAATGGATAATCTTCTTCAGGAAGATTATCTATAGCGGAGTAATAAATAGACATCCACAATATAATTATTTTCATAACACTTTCCCTTGGATGTTCATTAAAAGATAATATGCCTCATTAAAACCTTACTAGGAAAAAACCCTGTGGGAAAAAATCCTAGTGAAGAAAAAAGAGTACACATATTTAGTAATATGCATTGCTAGCTGCCTCATTAAAAACCTTATAAGGAAAAACCCTGTGGGAAAAAACCTTAGTAAGGAAAAAAGAGTACATCGCATATTTTACTCCCCCTGATGANGTACATCGCGTATTTTACTCCCCCTGATGAAAACCTTGTTTTAAATATTTAAGTCTCCGCATTCCAATCTTGTATACCATCTTCTCAAAAGTTGATGTTGGTAAAGTTTTAGTGAATAAATCTGCCGGATTGTCACTTGAACGGATTTGTTGCACATCAATGTCACCATTTTTCTGAAGATCACGTGTGTAGAATAATCTTGGTGAAATGTGCTTCGTTCTATCTCCTTTTATAAATCCCCCCTTCAATTGGGCTATGCATGCAACATTGTCTTCGTATAAATTGTGGGTCTTTTCTCACATTCCAAACCATATTTTTCTCGAATAAAATGAATTATTGATCTCAACCATACACATTCCCTTCTTGCTTCATGAACNGCGAATAATAGAGGGTGATTCAAACACAATATATATTCCTAACCTTCTTTGGGGGCCCATCTTATTGCGATGTGGTGGTGTTACTGGCACATATACAGCATATCCAAAAATTCGTAGATGGACAATATTTGGTTCATGACCAAAAACCAATTATGACGGAGAATATTTATTATAATGTGTCGGTCTGAGACAGATAAGTGATGTTGCGTGCAAGATAGCATGTCCCCAAATAGTAGTGGGCAATTGTGTTTTCATAAGTAGCGGTCTTGCTATCAATTGGAGTCGTTTAATAAATGACTCTGCAAGGCCATTTTGAGTATGAACATAAGTTACAGGATGTTCAACTTTTATCCCAACTGATAGACAATAATCATCAAAAGCTTGAGATGAGAATTCANGAGATGAGAATTCTCCAGCATTATCAAGGCGAATAGCCTTTATAGGATAATCTGGGAATTGTGCCCTTAATCGAATTATTTGGGCTAATAGCTTTGCAAACGCCAGGTTGCGAGATGATAATAGGCACACATGAGACCATCTTGAAGATGCATCTATTAGGACCATAAAATATCTAAACAGCCCACTTGGTGGGTGAATAGGTCCACATATATCCCCATGTATACGTTCTAAAAAGGCAGGAGATTCAATGCCAACCTTCATTGGTGATGGTCTAGTGATCATTTTGTCTTGATAACAAGCATCACAAGAAAATTTATTATTTGTAAGAATCTTTAGGTTCTTTAATGGATGCCCACTCAAATTTTTAGTAATTCGTCTTATAATTATTGATCCAGGATGGCCCATGACAAAGCACAAAAATATTTTAATCCGCAAACTTCTGGTTTACGATAGAGCGTGCTTCAACTGTACTAATTTTTGAATAGTATAAGCCAGAAGACAGAGTTGGTAACTTTTCTACAATGCATTTCTGGCCAGAAATATTCTTTGTAATGCAAAGATATTCCACGTTCATTTCATCTATCGTCTCAACATGATACCCATTTCGGCGGATATCCATAAAACTCAACAAGTTTCTTCGGGACTTGGAGGAGAATAATGCATTGTCTATAATAAATTTTGTTCCCTTAGACAGAAATACAGTAGGTCTTCCGGAGCCTTCAATCAAACTTATATTACCAGAAATTGTAGAAACATTTGCTTTTTCCTTATGCAAATAAGAAAAGTATTTCTAATAATTGAATATGACATGAGTTGTTCCACTATCAATTACACAAATATCTTCATGATTGGTCTTTAATCCAAACATAATTTGAGAATTATCCATATTTTTCAAAATGCATAAACAAAATAAATATGATAGTAAACATCATTATCAAAGCATAACTTTTATTTATGTACAACTATTACATAACCATACTATCTACTACAAACAACAAAAATTAAAATATTTACATCTCTACAGATTCATCACCGATCACATGACTTGTTTCTCTTTCTGGGAGTGCAAAGTAATCAGCTACATCCAAATGCATGAAGTCTAAATTATCTTCAAAAATAAAATTTGCTTCAACATTTTTCTCTGTCTTCTTCAGGGAGGCTTAATACAGCTCAACCAGGTGCTTTGGTATACGACATGTACGTGACTAGTGCCCTTTTCCTCTACATATATAGCATGCATTTTCTGGCTTTGCTGCTTGCACCGCTTCATGCTTTTGTTCCTTCTTTTTCTACTGCTGGTGGTGAGGAGGGTTCTTTGGTGCATTGTTATTACCACGATTAGAGTTTTCTCCCCGACCACGGCCATGACCACGACTGGGGCCACGTCCCCTTCCACGCTTAGCTTAGTGGAAGTTCGTCTCATTCACTTCAAGGAATGGACAAGAACCAGTAGGTCGGCTTTCATGATTTTTTATTAATAGCCCATTATGTTGCTCAGCTACAAGAAGATGTGAGATAAGTTCAGAATACTTTTTAAATCCCATCTCTCGATATTGCTGCTGCAGGAGCATATTCGAAGCATGAAAAGTGGTGAAAGTTTTCTCCAACATATCATGATGAGTAATATTGTCACCACATTGTTTCAATTGGGAAATAATTCTGAACATAGCAAAATTATACTCACTGATAGATTTAAAATCTTGTAGCCTTAGATGAGTCCAATCATAACGTGCCTGTGGAAGAACGACCATCTTCAGGTGGTCATATCTATCTTTCAAATTATTCCACAGTATGACTGGATCTTTAACAGTAAGATATTCCATTTTCAGGCCATCATCAAGGTGATGGCGTAGGAATATCATTGGTTTGGCACGGTCTTGGTTTGATGCCTGATTTTTATCTTTGATGGTGTCTGCCAGACCCATCGCATCAAGATGAATTTCGGCATCAAGCACCCAAGACATGTAGCTTTTGCCCGATATATCGAGGGCTACAAACTCAAGTTTAGAAAGATTTGACATTATTTAGAAAAAGAAAGTTCGTACCTATGATACTTTCAAAGTATTTTCTCGAGATGGCAGAGTCTCGTGCTGATAGCGTGTTATAAAATAAAGACAGTAAAATAAAGACAAGTATAGAGAGAAACTGATACATTATTCAAACTTCAAACTTATCTACATAATGAATTGAAAACTCCTCTATTTATAGAAGAAAAGAAGCAGCTGCGAGACTTTTCAGGAAGCAGCTGCAAGGCTTTTCTTTAGTTGCTTGTAAACTGTCTGCATGAGCTGCTTGCAACCTGCCTGTTTAATAAGAAGTTGCTGTAAATCATTTCATTGAGCTGCTTGCAACCTGCCTGTTTAATAAGAAGTTGCTGTAAATCATTTCATTGAGCTGCTTGCAACCAACTGCATCAGCTGCTTGTAGATAAACTTCAACAGAGTACTAAGTGTAGAAGATTATCTATTGCGGAGTAATAAATGGACATACACAATATAATTATTTTTATAACAGCGATAAATATATAGTCGGCAAATTATTACCTGCACTTAAACTTTTACTGGCAAATGAACTTTGGCCATGAAAACTATATTTTTACTGGCAATTAACAAAAGTGGCCGGTAAAAACTAGCAATTTCTTAGAAAGATTCTTTATTAATCTATTTTCCCTCCAATTTATTTCGCTTCCCTCCTTTAATTTTTATTTTTGCATCAAATAGATATTGTGTTTTTTTCTATCATATCGTGAATACATCATTTAAGAGCCCTCATAGAATGCATCTCTCTTGGCGTCTACACTCCATCTCTCCACATCGCTATGTCGCCTCTCTCCGCAAAAACCCAGAACGACCGGGCTTGAAATACTTAGAGAAAAATGGTAGATCTTCTTCGCTCGTCGGAAGTCCGCTATGGATTTAAATTGCTCCGTAGTTATTTTCATCTCTTCCCAAAGATCTGATTTACTTCAATCTACTTGTTTCAGGTCAGTTGTTGATTTTTCATTTTTACAATTCTCAAGTTTTTATACAGTGTTTGAGTTTAAAAGACGAATCTCATGAGGTTGGATTTTCTTCTCGATGTTTGATTCAAATTACTAGGTTGAAATTTGATAATCAATTTGAGTAATTAATTCAGTGCAATTTGTAGTAAGTTAAACTTTTGGATACGTGCTGAAGGTCTCCCAATATTCTGAGAATTGGACAGAGTCAACAAGTGAGGGTTTGGAATCCAAAATCTATTTCTTTTTGGGTAATAGAGACTGCCTTAGTTTACAACAAAGGGTGATGTCTATTTTTCTAGGTTTGGTGGCAAACATACTGGCATTCTTCAAAATACAGAATATCTATTGTACAATATCGTCCTTCTTTTCTACTAGTTGCTTCTAAACTATCTAGCAAATTTAATTTATGTTTGGCAGTTTATCTAATTTATTATATCTTGGCTTTGTAATCATACAGAGCTGACACAGGATATTAGTGAAATCAATAACAATGGTCAATAGAATGATGTACAATAGAGTAAGCTAATTTTGAAGTTTTATTTGATTATCATCCTAATTTATTGCCCTAGAATTAGGGTAAGGTTGATGTTCTAATTCAAATGATTCTTTAAGAGCACATCTCATATGACTCGGTACTATGCCAATTAATTAGGTCGGCTGTAGAACAAGCGAACTACATCATTCTTTGTTTGAATTTAATTAATAATTTACAATTGCAGATTATGCGCAATAATCGATTTTGAATCTTGGCTATTGGAGCATGTTTTCACTTGCAAATGGCCTAATTTTTCAAGCAACGTAAGTCACTTTTATTCATTGCATGTTATGTTTCTTTATCTTTTCAAATTCTTTGATTATGTATAACATGGAATAGTTCCTTTGGTCAAGGCCAATGGTAATACTACCAATAAGATGATAGAAGATAGTTTCAACATTCAAGCACCTCTCCACCATTATTGTAACGACTCAACCAGTCGTTTTGACTGTTAGAACCCCGTTCCTCTAAATAAGACTCCCCGTATGCTCTTTTACTAGTTATAACTTGCGGGGATGGTTGGTTCGGGATTTAGAAGTGTTCGGGTTGAAATCGGAACACTTAGTTCCTTAGTTTGGCTTTAAAAGGTCAAGTTTGATTTCGGTCAATATTTTTGGAAAACGACCTCGAAATCGGGATTTGGCGGTTCCAATAGGTTCGTATGGTGATTTTGGACTTGGGTATATGTTCGAATCGGGTTTTGGACAAACCGGGAGCATTTTGGCGCTTAATAGTGAAAACTAGCTATTTGAAGGTTGAAGGCTCTTTAAATTTGTTTTGGAGTAGGTTTTGGAGTAATCGAGGTCCGTTTGGAATTCCGAGCATGGAGATAGTTCCGTATGGTGATTTAAGACTTGCACACAAAATTTGGTGTCATTCCGAGTGGTATAAGTATATTTCGGCGCGTTCGGAGTAAGTTTGAAAAATTTGAAAATTCTAAGTTGAATCAATTTGGTTTGAGGTATGATTCTTAGTTTTGATGTTGTTTTACACGTTCCGAGAGTTCGAGCGAGTCCGTTTTATGATTTCAAACTTGTTGGTATGTTCGGGCGGGGCACCCGGGACCTCGGGTGTCAACCGGACGAGGCTCAGACCAATTTTAGAATTTGGAGCAGCAACTGAAGCTTCCAGCTTCTGCTGCAATCGCACCTGCGCTTGGGCTGTCGCAGGTGAGAGAATCGCAGATGCGACATTTTGCTCGCAGAAGCGGAAAGGGCGCAGGTGCGAAGGGCATCGCCGCATAAGTGGACGCGCAAAAGCGGTCCTGAGGCTGCATATGCGGAGTTTGGCCAGGAGAGGGAATCTCGCACCTGCGAGGAATTTTTCGCAAGTGCGGTTACACCTTCGCAGGTGCGAAAATCACAGAAGGCAGAACCTTCATTTAAGTCGGGAGTTGCATATTTTGAGCCCATTTTCTCCATTCTTGGGCGATTTGGAGCTTTTTGGGAGGAGATTTCAACTAGCAACTTTAAGGTAAGTTAATTCTACACACTTTGAGTTAAATACATAAATTATGGGTAGATTATAACTTGTAAATCGTGAAAATCAAGGGTTTAGATAAAAAACCTAGATTTTTATAAAAATGAGATTTTAACCACAAAAATGGTTATGGAATTAGATGTAAATCGTATATTTGAGTTCTTGAGATTATGGGTAACGATTTCCTCCGAATATTTTCGAAATCCGGGCACGTGGGCCCGAGGTGAATTTTAGGAATTTTACCATTTTGGGTTGGGTAATTAATTTAATAGTCTAGTTTCGAATCATTGAGCATGTATTAATTATTTTGTATAACATTTGGATAGTTTTGGATTTTTCGGCATTGGATTGAGACTTTAACGCGACATTGTGATCGGAAAGTGGACTTTGAGACGGGGTAAGTCTCTTGTCTAACCTTGTAAGAGGGAATTTACCACATAGGTGATTTAAAGTAATAATTGTTGCTAATTGTGGGGGCTACGTACGCACGAGGTGACGAGAGTCCGTGCGTAGCTACTAATTATGCGATATCCGGGTAGTTTAGGACTCAAATCATGAATTACTTGTGATAATTGCATCTTGTATTTAATTAAAGTACTGGAATTATATTGTGAATTGTTAGAAGAGATAGTAAAAGACTGAAATTTCGTCTACTTGAATTTTTGTACAAATTATTTAACTGTTAATAGAAATTGTACATCCTTGTATGTTAGCCTTATAATAATGACTTCTCATTTCAGAGGTTCATAAGAAAATGTCCTCCTTTCTTGTGGAGCGAGCCGAACGCCTCGGCAGTATAGATGCATTTATGGATCGTGCAGGACGTACCTCAGCAGTGTACACGACACTCTGGACCGGGTCGAATGACCTCGGCAGAAATCGTGCCTAATAATAATAATTACATGATACCTTGACATTCTATTGCAACTTGTGAAGCTAATTGATAAATTAAAAATTATTGAAATTGAAAGAATTAATTGATTCTGCTTGTTAAGGAAATTATTGTTGTTCATATAAATCATGTTTAATTAAATGTTTCTATTTTTAATATTATTGACCCATAGTGAGTGTCAAAGTTGACCTCCCGTCACTACTTATTCGAGATTAGCCCTAATACTTACTGGGTACACGTTGTTTACGTACTCATGCTACGCTTGCTGCACTTTTTGTGTAGGACCTGAGATAGGTGCTATAGGTGGACCTACCGGCGCGTACCCACGTTATCCCGAGGTTTAGTGGTGATCTGCCTTTCCGAGTCATTCTGTAGCAACTAATGCCTCTCCTTGTATTTGTATTATGTCTATTTTATTTCAGATAATATTTAAAATTTTTGTATAATCTACTAGATGTTCATACACTTGTGACACCAGGTCTTGGCACACACACTAGTAGAATTTTGGATTTAATTATTTTCTTGGATTTTAATTAATCAGATCTTTCATATTCTCTTAATTACTCGGATAATTGTTTAAGAAATTAATATATATTTAATTCACTAGTTGGCTGGCCTAGCTGTTATGTTGGGTGCCATCACGACCTATAGATTAAATTGGATCGTGACAATTGTCCCCCTCCATCTTCACCAAAACCATAATTAACATTTTCCCATATCTATGAGATAAATTCCACCATAATATTTTACAACAGTACCTATAATGAGGTTGATGGTGATTTCTTCCTTGCATCAAAATGGCAAGTGCGAGTCAAAAATTGACATAAATGGGCCAAAAAATTAAGGTCGAAGAGAAATATAAGTAATACCTAATTTGAAGTTGGCTTTTTGTTTTGAGTCTAGCTATGTTTCTTGACTAAAGCGAAACACCATTCCTTCAATGGTGGCTGGTTGAATTTTAATTTTTTTATCAAAATAAACTTTTATCATCAAGCATTAGGGGGACTTGAATTGGTTGATTCATACTTCGGTGGTGTTACATATAAGAGGAAGAAATGTGCTTTCAGAAGTAAAAAATAGTGGAAGAAAATTTTGGAGTGGGTTTATAAGGTGGTCGAGGAAGTGGAGGTTTCAGAGATGGCCATGGCAATGGTGGTAGTGGTTAGGTGTTGCTGAATTTTGTTAGGTGCAATTTATAGAGTCTGTATCTGAAATTTGGTGCAATTTGGTGAAGGATTTGAGTGGTTTCGAGTTGGATTAAATCTTCAATAGTTTACTGCACTGTATGTGAAGAAGAAAGGGACGTGGGGTGAGGAAGAAGGAGAAACAAGAGGGGGCCACTTTTTTTATTTATTATTTTTTGTTATTTACGCGCTTTTAATTTGTTTTCTTTCTATTTTTTTTGCCATATTAGCTGTTAAGGAGGAAAATAATTCACTTCAGATGTGTTTAGGGGGTAAAAGAATACCCGTTTAGTTTAAGTGTTCAAACATATTTTTTGGACAAGTTTAATGGGGGTTTTATGTATTTTGCCAAGATTCAACAACTAGATGGCATGCAATTTTATTTCAAGAGGAGCATTAATGCAGTGACAAGAATTTCTTGAGTTATGTTTCAATTATGTTCTATAGAAGCATCACTATTGCAATAATTAGCTGCTGTAAAGAAGTTGTCGGAGCATGCTTATCTAATCACCTTATGAAATAGGCTAGTAGGATTATATTTGATTTGGATCAAATAGATGATGATTTCTTGTTCTTATTAGATATCAAGTTTCATCCTTTTGAAACATGTTCATTTGATCCTTCAACCACTTGCTCATATCAGGATTAAGCATAAAAGATAGTTTCCTGAACTTTTTCCTTACGATAGTCTCATAGGTATTCTTTTAGCTTATTTGAAGATGACGCTTTTTAAAGTAAAATTTTAACATGAAGATGCAGGATGGAGTTGGTGTATTATCTTTGTAAATGGTTATGCTGATCAGTAACAACTATTATATAGATTTAAGGTCTAAACACGATGGCCTTTCTTTTACATTCCAATTAGTGATAAAAGCTCCCAACAAATTCCCAAGACATGATTCAAGAAATCCTTCAATGGGTGATTTTGTAACAATAGAGTGCTTTTTGGTTTGTGCCATCTATTTTTCTATTTCATTTCTAGAAGCTTTTTGTGAAGTTGGATTGTAATGCTTGATGTTCTCATTCTTAGTGTAGTTGGTGCTATGTAATTGGATGGTATACAACTATCCCAATGTGATCTGTAACTCTTATTCAATTTAAAGTCAAGTTTTCTTGTCTCCAGAATGCATATTTGATATAATGTGAAGTTTTATGAATCTTTAAATTATTTCTGCATGTGGGAATGGTTGTCGGACATTTATGTTTATCAATTTCGGGCTAATAGTAAAAAAATTAAATGTGTGCAGTTACTAATCCATCTTCGGACATGTCGAGATGCTAGCACAAGAGATAAAAAGGAGCTGCATCAGTTGAAGCAGTAGAAGACAAAATATGGCAGGTATGTTTTACATTTCTTTTTAATGGTGTTATATATGTGACTATGACTTAGAGATTTCTTCATCGTGTAATCGAACCCTGAGAATTAATGAAAGTATGTGATTTTGACTTTCAAATCTAATGTCTCCTTAACTGTCACATTAATTATTGATGTTGTGAAATATATAGAGTTTTAGTCCTCCTCTTAACTTCCTACTGAGAATGGATGGATTAATTTTACTACGGAATGAAAATTATTCAATGATAATCCATCTAGTTGAAATAGGCATAAAATTACCATATGAAGATTAGAATAAAGTTGATTCTGAGCTGATGCTACTTAGCTTTTTGTTCTTCCAGTAAAAATTTATTTTTGAACAAAATACACTATCGCAAAATTTTAGCGTATGTTTCATAGAACAGACGTTTTTGTGCAATTAGTTTTGATTGAATTTTGTAGTAGCATACCTTGATATGCTAGCATGAGTTTGTAAATGTTACATAGTTGTTTTATTGATTATTGATGAACTTCATATGTGGTGGTTTATTTGATTTCATTTTATTTTATTATTTCAGGATATACATTATGGTGTTTAAAAACTTAGCATGTGACAAGACTTCATTGTGATCAAGAATTGAAGAATCTTTTATGTCTTTTATTGTCTTGTTATAGTTATTTGATAGCACAATTTATTAGATTCAAAATAATACTATTTAGATTCAAATATATTAGCATTTTTGTTAAGTTGACACTTTGAATTTATGAATTAATATTTATTTTTGTTTGTTGTGGATTATATGAAGAGTATTATTTTTTCAAATGATTACTATTGGTATTTTCTAATGTAACTAGGCAGGCATAGCAACAAAAATATTAGAAACAGTTTTTTTCTAATTTTACCAGCGATAAAAAAAAGTCGTTAAACTGTCCTCCTGTATTGGCGACAAAACAAAAATTTAAAGGCTACATGAGAATCCAGGATAAAGGTAAATTGATATAAAGTTTAATGGCCATTGTATTTGCCGCTAAAAGTATTTTATTTACCAACAATTAAATAAATTTTTAAGCGGCAATAAGAAAAGCCCCAAAATGTATGATCTAAGAAAATGTGGAGCATTTTTAGCGGCCATTTAAATTGCCAGTAATAACTGCCACTAAAACTGATTAACTTTTACCGGCCATAAAAGGGTTCTTTACCGGTACTCGTTCTAATGGCCGCTAAAACCTTCGTCGGCTACAACGGCCAATATGTAATTGCCGGTAAAAGCATTAACGGCTATTGTTATTGGCGCTAAAACTTATTTTTATTGCCGCTACATCTTATTTTTATTGCCGCTAAAAGGCTTTTTTGTTGTAGTGAGTATCCTCTTGATATGTCATTTCTCGAAGAATTCGACGGGTTTTTTTCCTGTGAACTGGGGTCTATTATCACATCTGATTTCTTTGGGAAGGCCGAACCGGCTGATAATGTTTCTCCATATAAAGGTGATTACCTCATGTTCCCGTATTTGGGCGGATGCTCCTGCTTCCATCCACTTAGAGAATAGTCTGTTAAAACCAAAAGGAATCGTACGTTACCTCGCCCTGCTGGGAGGGGGCCCGCGATGACCATTCCCTATTTGATGAATGACCAAGGTGAGGTGACCGAGTGGAGATGTTCGCCTGCTTGGTGAATCATTGGGGCACACTTTTAGCACTGCTCGCATCTCCTCACGAAGTCTGCGACATCATTTTCATGATGGGCCAATAATATCCCGCCTGTATGAGGCATCTAACCAGTGCTCGATTGTCGGGCTGAGCACCGCAATGGCCTTCGTGGACTTCTTCGAGGACGCGCTGAGTTTGGTTTGGGCCCAAGCACTTCGCCAGAGGGCCGCCGTAAGTCCTCTTGTACAGGTCGTTGTGGAGGATACTATATCTAGCCGCTTTCATTCTTAGTTTCTTGGCCTCTTTTTTATTGCCATAGAGTGTGCCGTCCTGCAAGTATGTGATAATACGATTGAGCCAGTCCCAAGTTAAGTTTATGGTTCTTACCTCGACTTGTTCTAGTGATGAGTTGAGGAGATGGACCATATTTTTATCTTCGGGCATGATGCTTTTGGTAGTTGCGGCTAGTTTGGTGAGGCTATCTGCCTCGGTATTTAGTGCTCGCGGGATTTGGTAGAGCTGACATTCGTCGAACTCAGGCAATAGCTTGCCGATTTCGGTCTGGTATTTTTGCAATCTTTGTTCTTTGATTTGAAAAGTCCTTGTGACTTGGTTGACTATGAGCTGGGAATCGCAACGCAGTTTCAACCGTCTCGCTCGGTATTTGAGTGCTAACCTTAAACTTGTAATTACGGCCTTGTACTCTGCCTCATTGTTAGTCATATCCGGGCACCTTATGGACTGGCGAATTACTTCGCCTGTCGGGGCTTCGAGTACGAGTCCCAGTCCGGACCCTGATGCATTAGATGCGCCATTGATGTATAGGACCCATAGGTCTCATGTTTGGAGGGAAGCTTGGGCGGCTTCCTCTTCGACCTCGGGCATTATTTTCGTACTGAAGTCGGCGAGCACTTACAATTTTATCACAATTCGCGGCTGGTATGTGATATCATGCTCGCCGAGCTCGATGGCCCATTTGGCCAGCCTTCCCGATAGCTTGGGTTTATGCAAAATTCTCCTTAAGGGAAAAGTCGTAACGATCGAGATGAGGTGGCATTGGAAATAGGGTCTAAGCTTCTGTGAAGCTACGACAAAGGCCAGAGATAATTTTTCGAGGTGTGGATACAGCCTTCTCGAATTAAGACTACGCTTACAACTACCTCGGATACAGCCAGATAGACGAGGAGACACTTCCTCGGCTCGGGTTTAGAAAGCAAGGGCGGCGATGACAGGTATGCCTTTAGTTCTCGCAGAGCTTGGACGCACTTGGAAGTCCATTCAAGGCCGTTGTCTTTCTTGAGTACACCAAAGAATTTATGGCACCTATCCGACGACCGCGAGATGAACCTTGATAGGGCGGCGATGCGACCAGTCAATCTTTGGACCTATTTTTTGGTAGTCAAGAGTTCTGGTATCCCCTTAATGGCTTTGATTTGGTCTGGGTTGACCTCGATCTCTTGTTGCGATACCAGAAAACCCAACAACTTTCCCAAGGCTACACCGAACATGTATTTCTCCAGGTACAACTTCATTCCGTACCGTCTGAGTATGTCGAAAGTTTCTTTCAAATGATCGATGTGATCTTCTCCCCTTATGAACTTGACCAGCATGTTGTCTATATATACTTCCATTGTTTTGCCGAGCTGGTCTTTGAACATCTTTGTTACCAACTTTTGATAAGTATCCCTTGCGTTCTTTAGTCCAAAAGGCATGACCCTATAGCAATATGTTCCTTGGTGGGTGATGAACGTGGTCTTTTCCAAATCTTCTTCTTCCATGAGGATCTGACTATAGCCTCAGTAAGCGTCCTAGAAACTTAGTAGCTCATGCTCGGCCGTTGCGTCGATGAGTTGGTCAATAGGAGGCAATGGGAATGAATTCTTCGGATATGCCTTTTTCATATCTGTGAAATCCACGCACATCCGCCATTTTCCATTCTTCTTTTTGACCATCACTACGTTGGCGACCCACTTGGGGTACTTCGACACCCTGATGGAACCATTTTCTAATAGTTCCACCTCCTCGTGGACTGCATCGTTGATAACGGGGTTGAGTTTACGTCTGACCTGTCTCACTGGGAGGTGGAATGGGTCGATATTTAATTTGTTCTTGGCGATTTCCTTTGGGATACCCGGTATATCTGCATGGCTGAAAGCAAACATATCTGCGTTAGCTGTTAAGAATTGACGGAATTTATTTGGTTCTCGAAGTTTGCAGCCAATATAGGCCTTCTTGTTATGATCGTTGAGGTCCAATTAAACGGGGTCGAGGTCTTCTATGGTCAATCCAGCAGCTTCGACCGTGTCGGGATCCTTGATGACGTCCTTTGTCTCATCTTGCTCCGACCTCGACCCTGTTAATTTCTGTACCTCTTTTTATTTATCTTTTCTCTGTTGGGTGGCCGTGTTGTCTAAGGCAATGCGGTAGCATTTCCGGAATGTGCGCTGTTCTCCGCGTATACTAAATATCCCCCATGGAGTTGGAAATTTAATAACTTGGTATAAGTTGGAGGGGACGATTTTCATGGGATCTATCCACGGTTGTCCCACTGTGGCGTTGTATGCAGTGGCCTGGTCCATGATGTGGAACGTTGTCCCAGTGTTACGCCGCTGGCCAAAACAAGAAGTGTAATTTTCCCGGATGTCCGTTCAACTGCATTATTAAAACCAGTTAGCGTGATGCAATGCAACACTATCATATCTTCGAGTTTCATTTGGGTAAGTTCTCGGGGATGGATAATGCACACCCCGCTTCCGTCATCTACCATAATGCGTTTAACATTGGTATCTAAATTTTGTAAAGTAATAACGAGGGCGTCATTATGAGAAAAGGTCAAACCGTCGGCATCCGACTTGTCAAAGATAGTACTTTCTTTGAGTTCGTCGTACCGTTCGCGGGTGATAGATCGCTTGAGTTTGTGGGTAGTGGTGAACTTCACGCTGTTGATAGAGGTGTCATCGCCGCCGCTGATGATCATGTTGATGGTACGAGCTGGTGATGACGGCTTTGGCGGCCGTGATGTTTACGTCCTCTGGCCAAGTTGGTCCTCCTCTTATCGCTTAACAGTTCTTTGAGGTGCCCCAGCCATAACATATTTACGACTTCTTGTCTGAGGGCAATGCAATCTTCTCTTTTGTGCCCACGTTCCTGGTGGTACTCATAGAGGGCGTCAGACTTTTTGGTGTTCGGGTCTGATCTCATCTTTGGTGGCCATTACACTTTTGGTTCGAGTTTCTCCAGAGCGTAGACAATCTCTATAGGTGACACACAAAAATTGTGAGTAGATAATAAGAGAGGCATACCTCTTTCGTTCCGATGAATTCCCGTCCTTAGCCTGGGCGGGCCTTCTTCGTAGCGGTGGGAGGGTACATCGACCGTCCTGATATATGGTTGATGTCGTTCCCTGTTAGGTCGCGGAATTGGATGAACTCTCCTGGTCCTGTCTCTTCGATCTTTTTTGGATTCAACTTGCACCGAGGTTAGTCGGTGAGTCGGCCCATTGAGGCCGTCCTCATTTCCTCGGACCTCGGCACAATAAGCATTGTGGATTTCGTCTCAAGTGGTTGGAGGATACATCATCAATCGACTCAACATTTTTCTAGTTACCCTTGAACATCTCTGCTCAGCCCGTTCTGAAAGGCTATTTTGAGCACCTAATTTTTGACTATATTTGAATTTTTATCACCTTCTACTGTGTATATATTTTTAGAAATTTAATATATATGTTTTAGCTTTGTGATATTTTTTAAATATAGGGTAAAAATTAAAAATAATTTAAAAGGTCAATTATTACTATTAATATTATTTTTATTTTTATCTTTATTTTAAAATAAAATAAATTAAAAACCCGAAAAAACTTATTATTTTTTTTAAAAAAATTATTTTTTTTAAAAAAAATTTCGGATTTGAATAAAAAATAGGAAAAGTAGAAGTATAGAATTAAAAAGTAAAAGTAAAAGTAGGTAGAAGTATAGAAGTCAATTGAGGTTGCAAGTTGAGATTTTCCGCTCGAATTTTTCACGGTTCGAAGGGTCCAGTTGAGAGCTCTCTGATCATTGAGTGGTTGTAATTTAAATCCACAATCATCAATGCAAAAGTTCGCTTCTCTTTCTATTTTGTTTTCTCATTAATGTTCGAGGCCACTCTGTT